TCCTCCTCGGGCTTCCTCGATCCTCTTCGAGCCTGGCCGATCCTCGCCCCCCTTGCCTCCCCCCCCGACTCCCTGGCGGCGCCGCCCGGCCTCGCCCGCGCGCGGCTCGACCACCTGGTCGCCCACGCGGAGCCGGAAACCCTCGGGGGCGGACGACGATGCACAGACATTAAAAAGCATTGAAAACACAACGCAAAACAAACGGACACGGTCTACCCACGAACCCAGAAAAGAATACAGACATGTGCAGAATGGCAACGTTTTCAAGACACCTACAGAATTGGGCGACGGGCACCTGCAATGCTCAACGTATCGTTCTTGATGTATCGTGCCAAAGGCTGTGCTGTGCTGCGCCATGCTGAATTGCGTTGCCATGTCGCGATTGTGCTCTCGAGCGTTGTGGATCGAGTCCTCCTGTGCATCCGAGTCCTGACCGCACTGATCTGGAGCTTAAGCTCGAGCTGCCTGAGCACGTAGAAACTGCCCCACAGCTACTTGAAGTGGAAACGTGCGGGACGTTCGTAAAACTCGACCTCAACATCTAACTCAACTCCGAAAAGGAACGACACGACACGGGGCACAGGCTCATGGGCGCGCCACAAGATGTGCTAGGGGCGCAATAACGGATGCGCCGGGGGGGCGTGTCAGGGGACGTATCAGGGGACGTGCCCTGAAAGTGCCAGGGACCTGCCACGTGACGTGCCAAGGCGCGTGCCATGGTACGGCCAGAGGACTTCATTCCAAGGGACGTTGCAAGGGGCGCGCCACGGAACGGGCAGGGGAAACGCCTGGGGACGAGCCAGGAAACACGACAGAGAACGGTCCAGTGAACCTGCCACGCCGAGTGGCGTGCTAGGGGGCGTGCCAGGGCACGTCACGCCAGAACGTCGCAAGGGACGCGCGAGGGGACGCGCGGGCGCGCCAGGGGAGGCCACACGGACGAGCGGGATTGGACTGCGATGCGTTCTACTTTGACAAGCGTTTGGCTGGAGACATCCTCAACATCCGCCTGGGCGGCATGGGCACGTGAAAACCAAGCGTCACGCTCGAGACGTTCCACATCCTCATGCTAGACATCTGTCTGGGCAACCTGGACACGTGAAACCAACCTCTCGCTCGAGACATTCTTTCGCTCGAGACATCCCCCACACATCCTCATGTTCGACACCCGTCTGGGCGGCCTGGACACGTGAAACCAAGCGTCTCGCTCGAGACGCTCCCATCACATCGTCATGCTAGACATCCGCCTGGGCCAACTGGGAACGTGAAAACAATCGGCTCGCTCGAGACAGCCTCAACACATTCTCATGTTAGACATCCGTCTTGGCGGCCTGCGCACATGAAAGCAGGCGCTTCGTTCGAGACTAGATCGACACCCCCTCAAGCAAAACATCCGCCTGGGCGACCTGGACACATGAAAGCAAACATCTCACCGGGAACATCCTCAACACATCTTCTTGTTAGACATCCGCCTGGGCGGCCTGGACACGTGAAAGCATGCCTTCCGCTTGGAACGTTCTCAACGCGTCCTCATGCAAGACACCCGCCTGGGCGACCTGGACACGTGAAACCAAGCGCGTCGCTCGAGACATCCTCAACACATCCTCATGCTCGACGTCTGCCTGTGCGTCCTGGACGCGTGAAAAGAAGCGTCTCGCCAGAGACATCCTCAACAACTCCTGATGCTAGACATCTGTCTCGGCAGCCTGGACACGTGAAACCAAGCGTATCGCCAGGGTCATCCTCCAGAACTGGGCACGTGAAAGCAAAGATTTCACCTGAGACATCATGTGAAGTCCAGTCCCCAGAAGAGGAACAATCTATAACACATAACAAGCACTGCGCTCGAGGCATCGTCAGCAAATTATGCAAAACAATCGCTTCGCGCGAAACATCCGCGACACACGAACATGTTGTACTTTACCATCTGATGTATTTATCGTAATTTCAAAAGCCAGCGTTTCGCTCGGGACACCATCAAACACGACTCCGCCGGCCCAACGCTCGATTCTGGGGGAAACAACGAAAAGAAAACCCTCGTCTTCATCTCTGTCCGGGGACAAAACTTGACTTGCTTTCGCGGCTCATAGCGGCAGGAGAAAGAGGAAGCAGGGGAAGGAGGAAAGAGGAGGAGGAGGATGAGGAGAATGATGAGGAGGATCATGAGGATCGCCACACATTTCTCCTGCTGCTCAACGCCACATGCCACCTGTCCGACATATCCGCAACTGCGGCGCCCAACGGGCCGACTCCTCCTCGTCCTCCTCCTACTCCTCCTCCTCCTCCTCGCCCTCCTGCCTCTCCCCTCCTCCGCCTCGTCCTCCTGCTCTTGGCGGGATCCGCAACTGCAGCGCCCCTCAACCGCGACATCATGTGTCCTCGTGGCTGGCGACCCCGAGTGGTCCCCTTGCGTTCGACTTCGCCTTCGCCTTCGCGGCCCTTTTGCGGACGACCTCCTTCCTGGACTTGGCTTTGCTTAGCGTCGGTTGCCCACGTCTCC